ATTTTTAAATTCTATTTTTTGTCAATTGACATTAAAACAGCATTTTAGAATCTGTATTTATTATGCATTTTGATAAACATTGACCTAAGGTAGAGCACTTATAAAAGTCCAAACAAGTTTAAAGAATGGGAGAGGTTTTAGAGATTAAAATCACTGTTATCTGGATACTTATTTAAAGCTTAGAGCCTTTTAAAAAGACCCCAACATTTCATTCTACTGGAGGAAGACTAAGAAAAAGCCAGTCATGACACAACGTCTCAACCATGCTTGTTATGCTTCCAAAAAACAACTAGAATTCGTATGCTGTCTGGTAAACAGTGAAAATCTTTTGTTTCTCCAACTAAAAACAACAACAGAAATCTTGAAAGGAATGTTGGTAAATAACCTAACAACACACACCAATTTCATGGACTTCCAGGCCTGACAGTTACTGGCTTTGTGACTGTGTTCCAGTGAACTGACCTCTGGTACCTCAGTTTCCTGGTCTGTATATAAGGAACACCTCCTCAGCAGGCCTGGGTAGACAGTTAATTGGGATATTTGTAAAAAGCCCTCCACAGAGTGACTGGGACCTAGAAGTCACTCCATCATTCAAATGCCAAAGTCCAATTGCTCCCTCGTAGGTCATACTGTTTCTTACACTGTGAAGACAAAACTCACACATGTGCACGTAGTTGCATAGCGGTACACCATCAGTTAGCAGGCCCTAATCTTCCAAAACCATTTTCCCACTTCTTACTCAAGAGTTAAAAAGAAAAAAAAAGTCACAAAAGCTTTTATTCTCACAAAACTTCGACAAGGATCACATATTTTATGTAAGTGGCATGTGTTATGACATATAACTGAATGATTTTGCTCGTCATCCTAACAGATGGTTATGCGAGTTTTTAATTTTTCTTTCAACATTCTGGCAAGGATGAAGATCTTAATGTAAAAGTAAAATTAGTTTCCAGCAGTACCTAAAACCACAAGATGCATCCTTACACTTTTCCAATGGAAAGTACTCTTATTTTTAATTATCACAACTATCCAGTTATTTTTAAATAATGTATGACTCGTTATCGTCAAAAGGAATCTACTGCTTAATTGGATAGTATCTCCAAAACCCTCTTTTGTCTTTTAGGTGATTAATCTGGGGTATTAGCTATCACTCCAACACTTTTAGACAGACCTACCGCAGTAGAACCTCACTAAACAAGTAATCTGTGCAAATTTCTCTTTATTCTAACACATTCAGATGAGCAGCATCGCCCAGAGTAAGGCCTTTATTTACCAAGAGATGTGTGTTCGTCTTATTAGCATCGCTGCATTAATATAATCCCTCTACTTTGTATAAAAACCTCTGCTTAATCCTAAGGAAAAAAAGCTTCCCTCATTTGCTCAAGGATAATTGAACCCTCCTCCTTACCAGAAAGATCCAGTATACAATTAGAAATAAAACTTAGAAATCAAGTATCTCCAAAAGAGATACTATAACTGACTGAATAGTATAAAGGAAACTGAATCACACCCTTTCCTGAGTGTAGGATTTTATGCAATGATGCTGTGTCCTCAAGAATTTTCATAAATCAAAATAAAAAAAGAATTTTCATAAATCCAATGGAACCTGGACATCTTGTTACCTATCACTATGTAACAGGTTTTCCTCCTTCTTAGAATTGAGAATATTTAAAAACCTTAGATCCTAAGCACAATATGCCACATGGTCACTGCGTCTTTTCGGATAAAGATATCTGCATCTTTGTTCTAAGAAAGAATGACAACCGCATACAAACCTCTGCCTTTGTTGGGGACCCTGGTAGTTCTCATTACTTTTTCTCCAACAATTTACAGTATTTTTTTTTAATGACACATTCTCATAATCATAATGCTTAGGGCTTAGAAGTAATCTAATGCAGAGGCAAAAAGCTTGGGCCCTGGGTAAAGGCAGACACACTAGTTCCAATCCCAAATCCATTGCTTCCTAAGCTTTGTTTCCCTGTGGAACGGGTCGACTGCACTCACCTCCAAAGGAGGTGCCAATGCGTGTGCTTTGCGCAGTGAATACAGAATCATCACTGAAGCACTAACTGTTATAAAAATAAGATAACATAAAAAATGGATTTTAGAATTACGGTTTTCCAACCAAAATTCGACTTTTGGCAGAGCAATACCAAAAGGGTCTGCACCTTTATCCCAAAGCACTGCAAGGCTTTCAAACATGGTCCACAGAGAGCATAAAGGAAAAAAAAAAAATCTAAGAGTCCAGTTTCCTTCCTGCTACATTTTATTCCCTCTCATGGGAGCATGAGATTGTCCTCACTCAAGTTAATATTTTCCCCACAGAGTTCCCACTGAGCCACTACCCGCTGCTAATTAACTTCATGAGGACAAATTTTCAAGTGACTTGAGGCTTCTGCCTGCCAGATGGCATCTCCAAGATCATCGCTCCTTCCTCGTAGAGTTCAGGCAGTTCCTAATGCCATTTTTATCCAAGGATCCATATGGTAGGAGTCTCGTTAGAGCCCGCAGATAGTATGTGAATACGAACCTGTGCTACTAGCTCCTGGGGTCGTCCAGGACAGAGATCAGGGCCAGGTCAGCTACACCTGCATTCTCTCTTGCCCCAGCACCCCCCCCCAACCCCCAGAGCTTCCACTCTACTGGGAAGAAGGAAGAGGAAGTGAACAGGAAACATGAACAGAGCTGCAAGTCAACCCATCAAGCATGCCATTCAAAGCCGATGGCAGGAATGAATATAATGTTTGGAAATACCATAACCAAAAACATGACAAAAAATACTCAAAAGCAAGAGGCAAAAAAACAAACAAACAAAAAAAAAAACAAAAAAAAAAGCAAGAGGCAGAGAATAATCAGAACAGAAGAGATAACCTCACCTACTGAGAGCTTCTATCATCTGGATGCTCAACCATGAGATTAAAAAATAAGTTAAAGATCCCTGCCAAGGAATTCACATCCTGGAAAGAAAAGATGAATTACAGTGCATAGAGGCGAGGGTGCCTACAATGAGCTCTGACATGACATCAGGAGGGGAAAAAAACCCCCAGCAAAATATGTGTAACTAAGAATGACCTCAGAAAGCATCTCATCCAGAATGTGAACACCTCTTCTTCTAGCTGAACCCTGTGTGCAAACAGGAGTATCCCTGGACGCCAGGAGTATGAAGCTAACTTGGTTTAATCCAAGTTAGACCCAAAAAGTTTAAGTGACTAAGCTTAAGGTCCCAAAGCTAATGAGAATTTAGCAGAGTCTGAATCCAAACCCATATATACAGACTCCCAACCTGTACTTATCCAGTCAACCACCAAGGCCACCCAGTAGAAGGCAGAGTCTGTGTTCGATCTTTATCCATGACCTAGCCTGCTGTTCAATTTCATCATCAATAAAGGAGGCATGTGGGGTAAGTATGTGTCAAGATTTCTCAGTTATTAAAAATATGCTTTAGCTTAATTCCTACATAACACCAAATACCTGTATTCTGTTCCCAAATGGGTTCTTCTAGTGGACAGACAGTAAATGGCTGATACATGGACGCCTGGGTTTTCCTACTTTCCCAGCTAGTCATCCCGTCCTTTATGCTTCCCCAGCCCTGAGTATATTCTTTTTTTTTCTAACCCTCATCACCATGTGGACAGTAGTTCAAGTAATAAGCATCTCGCTGAGACAGAAGATGTCCCAGTACCCGTCATGGCATCCCAGCATCAGCTAAGAAATACCTCCAACCCAACAGTACATTTGAGAGGACCACATGTCCGTTACCCTTAGATTTCTGGAAACACTGTGGCACACAAGAAATGTTTGTTCAAATTGCTGGGGAGGCAAGGCAATACACTACTTTCCTACTTCTTCTACAATATAACCTTCCACAGCTTGGCAACCCATTACCTACACCTCTTACATTTTTTCTTTACATCACCTGTTTTGCTGAAAATTACTTGCCAACTTGTAAAGAAAACACTTGAGCTTAACTTCTCTAGGTTAACGGGCTTTTCTACTCCTTCTGCTTGACCATCCCACATTTCTGCTGTTTGTATTTAAATAATGGCAGTTCCTTTGTGCTGTGTTCCAGAAGTCTGAGAATTTTTAGAACCCAAAACAAGTTTTCCCATAGAAAAGTCAGAAAACAAAACACTGACATGAAGGATGCTTAGGTTCCCACGCCCGTCCACAAAGGCTTATTTTGCACATCAGAACAGCACAGAGCCAAGCCACACTGTGCTGCCTTCTCCAGGGACAATGTCTTCCTAATTCCAGGAGTAAGCCCAAAATACATTTCTACTCCCCCTCCTCTTCTACAGCCTACACCCATTCTCTCATTCCCATCCTTTCTGCCCCACCCCCATTCCACTCTCTCTGGGGACCGAGATTGAGGTCAAGCCCAGCACAGGTGTCCAGGTTTAATAATTAGGTCTGGGACTTTGCTGCAGGTAGAGGAGGAGACGTGCTACTGTAATGGCAGCCCCGAGATGGAACTCAGGGATGCTCAAGGAGGCAGAGGCTGTGGCCCAGAAGCAAGAGCTTTAGGAGACTACCAGGAAAGAGCTTCATGTCAAACAGAAGTCATAGTATCATTCATTTGTTCACTCATTCATTCATTCATTCATTCATTCAACAGATGCTTAATGAGAACTCCTAGACAGTGCATTATATTCAGAAAACACAACAAAAAAACTCAATATGGCTGCTGTTTTGCCTCCCAAGGGACATTTGAATATATCTGGAAATGTTCACAGTTGTCATAACTTGGGGATGGGGGCTGCTACCAGCACCTAGTGGGTGGAGGCCAAGGTGCATAGGACAGCCCTCACATCTAAGAATTATCTGGCCTAAGATGTCAACAGTGCTGAGGCTGGGAAAGGCTGCTTTAAGTAATTTATGACAGCTTTTCCTGAGAAAATTATCACAACTCAGAATAGTTTTTAATGTAATAGAACTGCATTTTGATCTAATACTATTATAGTGAAATACATATGGATACGTGAATAAAGAGGAACACTTACTTGTGCATGTTCTCCACTCCTATTACGATCATGATACAGTAGGAAATTCCACTTTGTACAAGAAAATGTAAGGCATACCTACAAAAAGTAAGAGCGCTGTTAGAAGGGGGCACCCATTCACAAACATTAGGTTGAAACCACTGAGGCTACAAAGTGCTTATGTATCACACAGAACATACCCAGGTAAAAAGTAAGGAATCTAACTTCTGCAGCCCAAAATTCTGTGAACATCTTAGAGGGACTCCTCTATCGCAAGTCCCAGAAGAGCTGGAAACATAAAATGAAACCCCATCAAGGCACACTCGGTGCCCTGGCATTCCACATCTCCTAGCTACGTGAAAGCATTGTGGGGTTATGTGGCTCAAGGATTACAGCTTTTTCCATAACTCAAGGCACAATGATGAAAAGGAGCAATAAATCTGGATTTCAGAATAATCCTGACAGAACATTAGTTATTTGTTTTCCCAAGTACCTAAAACAGTTTCTCACAAAGCAACAAAAAGGACCAAATATTAGTATCTACTAAAAACCAGTTACACCCAAATCTACTCTGAAAACATGATGGCTCAAATTAAATGATCTTCTAACCCATCATCTCCAGTCATCCATCTATAAAAGATTCTGGCTGAGGTGACACAGAATGTCCCAACGTGGAAACCCACCATTTAGTGAGAGAACTAACTGACCCCTTCCTTTCACAAAATTCAGGCAAACATGACTAAGACCCCTGGTTTCAAACTCAAGCCAAACTATCCCTGAGATGATGCATACATGGGCACACAGGCATGAACTCACTATTTTCTTTCCCTTTGGTGGCATGAATAATTTATGAAAAAATTTTCAAACCATTGTACACCGATTAAAATATAAATAAGGATCTTAACCTGTGATGAAAATTGCTTTTTAACCTAATCATTAAAGAATAATGGGCATCTCCAGTGTGGAAATAGTTAAACTTTTGAATAAATCTTCCCATAGAAATATTATAAATCAGAAGCAGGCTCCAAGGGAGGACTGCAGAAGGAACCTATTTATCCCCCTGAACAGAGTATGTCTGTCTGTCTGTCCCCCCTCTAACACACAGAACGCATGGGAACACAATGCTGGCCTGTGATACCACCGTAACTAGCAAGTCATGAGAAAGCAGGTGAACATATATGCGTACAAACTGGAACAGAAGGAAGCTTTAAAAACATGATTAAAACACTTACTTTTCTAATTAATTATCCACCTCCCATCTGTGGCCAGCATTAACAATTCACTAAGATTTAATGTGGAAATGCTGAAGAGGATTGCCACATACTTTTAAGGGCTTTATTAATTGGGAGTTGAAATCTTTAAAGATACTGGTCTTAAGAAAATTTATTTGAGGACCTTTGGGAAATTTTTTTTTCCTTTTGCATGAGGAAATTTCCTTGGAACATGGGGGACATACAATTTTACAAGCTAAGAGTTTTATTTCTCAAATGAAACCACGGTTCCTTCTATTGCTTGAAAATGCCCACTCCCCTGGCATCACTGTTCAGATGACATGCTTGGCCATCTTCTAGGGTGCGTCATCACGCTTGGCCAGCCTTCTGTTGTTGTACCAGGCTTCGTTACTGTGACAGCACAAGTCTGTCCATATGAAGCACATGGGCGTGTGTCTCTGTGTCATCGACCTCCACAACAAGCCTCAAGTTGCTTTTCCACTCATTTATGGCACTGGTGACTTTCTTCATAATCCCCCACATGCAGCCACTCCACTTGCTCTCAGTAAAAGGAGCATAATAAATACAGAGGAGCCACTTAGTATTTTTCAGGCTTAAGAGATCATGTGTACAAGGTGCTGACTTGGGTAACTGGCACACAGTAAGCACTCAACTATTAAGTATTTTTAGTGAAGGAGAAATTCAAGATAGGAGGTATCTTAGAAGTCTATAATCCAATCCTCATCATTTTACAGTGGAGGAAACTAAGTACTAAAAGTCACGTACTTCGTTAGTACCCTGACATTAAAACTCAACTAGTTTCTCTCTGGGCAACTCACCCACTGGCTGACTCCTCAAGGGGCGGGCGGGACTCACACACTGAACATCACACATCACGCATCACGCATCACGCATCACACATCACACCTCTCAAGCAGCTCGAGGACTTTGAGAACAAAGCGATCCTTTATCTCGAAACTTCAATTTGTTTTTAGATAACGCGTCTTATTTTGAATTTCAAATCACACTAAATACAGGTAATAAATAAAAAATGTTTAGTAAAAAAGAATACAAGTTTTAAAAAGGTTGAGAAACACCTCTCCGATTATTCAACTGATCTGTGCAGAACGTGTGTGCTGTCTGGCAGGCATTGTCCTGCATAGTAGGAATAAAGAGTCAACACGACAAGGTCTCTGTCCTCAGAGAACATCCAGTCTAGAGGTGAAGACACACAAACAACAGACTACATTTTAATACCGTGTGACAGGGGCACTTGGGGGGCTCAATTGGTTAAGTATCTGCCTTCGGTTCAGGTCATGATCCTGGGGTCCTGGGATCCAGCCCTGCATCAGGTTCTCTGCATAGCAAGGAGTCTGCTTCTCCCTCTCCCTCTGCCTTTCCCATCCCCCCCTCCCAACTCATGCCCTCTCTCAAATAAATAAATAAAATCTTTAAAAAAAATACTATGTGACAAACAGTAAAAGAGTAATTGGATAAACATAAAATTTTCAACCTGGGCAGCCAACTGGACAATGGTAGTAACAGATAATGACAACAATGGTCTTGCCCCTGGGTGACCTTCCAGGTTCACCGTGAGCTGGCCGTGGTGCTACGCTCCTCTCTGTGGTATTAAACCTTTCAGATCTCACCATGATCACGGATTCCCTTTCACACACAATGAAGGTAAAGCCAAAAGGGTTTGAATGCCATGTCCAGAGTAACAGAGCGACCTGACCAAGGTGCCCAGAGCAGAATACGGGTCTGACTTCAGAGTTCCCGCTCTACTGCACTAGCCTTCACAGTAATCAAAGACAGTTAAATAAATAATTAAAAGTATATGGAAAATCTCAATCAAAACAAACTTGCAGATGATAGTTCTAAAAAAAAAAAAAAAAGCTGAGACCAAATAGAAGTAGGTATAATGATCAATTCTATTTAGAGTACTACTAACATATGTCTTCCGAAAGAGAAGTTATCAAAATCAATAGCAGATATGACTGCCTTTGAGCCTAAAAAATCAAAGTGCTACACTGCAAATTGAAAGGATACTCTACTTCCTCTACTCATTCCAATTAGCAAAAAGTTACTGAGACCTGGTACAGAGAAGTAAAAAAAAACGTATCTTCCCAAAGGAAGAAATATAAAACATTTCTTCTTCAAGAAAAACAAAACACCAAAAAAAAAAAAAAAAAACCCAGAGAACTCTATTTTTAAAAATAGAGTTATCATATGATTTGAAATACTAAGGATTATATAAGGTCAGGTTCCTCGTGGTTCTGTGTATACAGTACCTGAGGAGGCTTCACAGCAAGAAAACATCTCCTCAGGACAAACCCCTAAAGGAAGAGAGCATGCTCATCTTCATACTGCTCCAAGTTGCATGACCACAAAGGAGACTACTTACATTTCAATTCTCTACACTGTTTACAGTGTTCTGTTTACCCTGACCATGGTGTGAATGGTGTCCCTGGAGCTGGCCATTCTGAACTAAAGCCTTCCCCAACCCCTCTGTAAAATGTGTCCCCCAGGGACCCCTGGGTGGCTCATTCAGTTAAGTGTCCAACTCTTGATTTCAGCTCAGGTCATGATCTCGGGGTCCTGGGATCAAGCCCCACGTTGGGCTCCATGCTCAGCAAGGAGTCCACTTGAAGATTTTCTTTCCCTCTGCTCCTTCCCCTCCTCACATGTGCGCATGCTCAGGCACTCTCTCTCAAATAAGTAAATCAATCCTTAAAAAATACATTAAAAAAAAAAAACAAAAAATGTGTCCCGTAAGTACTGGAGCATGTATGGGTGAAATATGTAGACTGGGATATAATTTTAATTAATCCAGAAAAATAAGTTAGGGAACAAATAAAAATGGTGGAATTTTAAAAACTGTTGAAGCTAGGTAATGGATATATAAGGGTTTATTTTTCTCTGTATGTCTGCATTTGAAAAATTTCATTATAAAAGTACACACACACACACACACACACACACACTCTAACCCCATGGCATGACTGATGAGAAATTCAAATAGAACCATCCAAGAAAACTACAAAAACTTTGAAGCTACAAATCTGATGTCATCGAGGAAGCAGAAAAGACCGTGCGTGGGAATGAAGAGACCATCTCTAAATCTCAGGACTACACCCTTACCTACAACTGGCAGTGCCTTTCAGAGGACTGGCCACATGGCGATATGGTAGAGGCTGAATAAATTATCCCTGAGTGATTTTCATTTGTTTCTAGGAAACATTTGCAATTGCCAGAGGCAAACATTAGATTAAGAAATACCAGTATATTCCAACCCTCGCCAGAATAAAAAAAAAAAAAAAAAAAAAAACCATCCTAAGCGCAAACACAGAGGCCTTCTCAAAGTCCCGCGGATTCCACACCCCACGGCGAAAACTACTAAAGCGCAGATCAAGTGAGCGCTTTCTCCCCTCTCGGGGAATTTTCATCTCAAACAAGAGTCTACAGAAGAGCAGACCTACAAAGCCTTATCTGTGAGCGTGTTACCGATACAGCAAAGGAGCAAGCAGCCTAAGCTCTGACTTAAAAAGGAAAATTCAGAAGAGATCACAAAGAAGCCCTTCCACTCAGTCTCTGCTGCTTCGCCAAGACTGGGCGCTCTTCTGATTTTCCTCTGTTGCGACTAGTCACCTGGAACAAACAGAAGTGGGGTGTTTCTGTGTTTAAGGCTCTCAGGGAAGCCCTGGCAAGTAAGGAGGGAGCAGCCTGAAGGTAACACACACACGCACCTGAAGGGTCAAGGGTCATACTTGAAAACTTTCCATCATAAATGATTCTTCCCCACCAGAACCAACCAACCAATCCCTTTTACACACAGCAGAAATTTAAAACTGGTAATAGAGTTCTACTACTGGGCTTCACCGGACTCTTAAAAGCCGCTTGCACAGAAAGAAAAATACTCTTTTAAGCGGTTTATTTGTCTTAGCTTCAAAGATGTGCAAAATGGGTGAAAAAGAACTACTCGCGACAGAAGAAAATGTTTGTATGTCTCTTCTTCATGTGTCCTGTTTCAGACATTATAAATAGTAAACTGCCCTCCGAGCCCAAACTGCAGAGACTGAGTTTATTCTCCACACTTTTTTTTTTCTATTAAAAATAAAAATAGAAAACTTTGCATGTAAGTATAAGAACAAAACCCCATCTAATGTATCCTTGTGCACACTGAATCACAAAGACGTCCAAAGTCTTCATTTAAATATCAAAATAATTACTTACCATCCAAAGCAAAAAAGTGCAAGATAAAGGCCCAAAAGGGTAGCAACGACATGTCTTATAAAAGAGCTAGTTTTGCTTGAATGTAGATAAGTTCGAAACCAAATGGCTGCTAGCAAGGCAAAGAGTTGGCACACTACAAAGTTGACCTGTAAAGAAAAATTGAAATTTCAAATTAGCAATACAGACTTGAATTTTTCATTTGACGTCACATTTAAATTCTCAGGACAAACAAGCCACGGCTATATAAAATGAAGATCTTCTGAGTTTATAAGAGAAACCAACACAAAACCAAAACTTAGGGCCTTCGCGGGGATGACAGCTCCAAGTTCTAGGAGATGGGCTGGTGCATGCTGGGAGCACCCAGCGTAGGAAGGTCTAGAGGGCCACCTGGGACAATCTGAAGGACATGAGGGTGCAGACACAGAAACTCAGGGTACCCTGTGGCTTAAGGGAAAGAGAAACTGGTCTTAATGACACAGACAACCCTATAACTGGTAGAAAAGAATGGCTGGGTTTCTCCAAAAATCCCCTGGGTCAAGATCTGGTCACGATCCCTGAGGGTCTTCCATTTGGGAACCCCATTTCACAGCCACTCCTGGCAGAGGGTGTCAACATGGGAGCTGGTCTAGAACCACCAGAGGAAGAGCAGGGACCAGCTGCCTCTGCTCTGGATGATCTCAAGCACTGGTTCAGGAAGCAAATGGATGTATGACAACAGAGGAAGGAGCCTTCAGGAAGCAGCAAGGAAAAACATGTACCCTCAAGTGCACCAGTATCAGCTTTTAATTTTCTTCATAACTCGCAGTGATGCTGGTCTTAACTGCGGGAATGAGGTTCAGGCTGGCAACAGTCTAATACTTCTGCCCTGGCAAAATGGGGCATAAAAGGCTAAGAGTAAGAAGCTATTTATGGGATTTAAAGACTCAAGCAGAATCTCCATTTCTTTCTCATGAAATATATTCTCGGAGATGATTAAGGAAAATGTCTTAAAAATCCAAATAAAAGAAAAAAATCCATTTGACATTAGGAACTTGTAAAAAAAAAAAACACAAAACAACAACAAAATCACTGTTTCAGGGGCCTCAATTATGAACGAATCACACTATCTACATGTAGATGCTGCCATAGTTCCATAGAGATATCTCTGCCTAAAGACACAGACAACTATGTGCTTTTTCTTGCATTACAAGGAGAAACACAGTTGAACATTGTTGTACTTTGTCTAAGAGACCATTGTTCTTTGAAACAGACTCACTAAAAGCAAATTGTCATTCCAACAGGTTCTAAGCACTTTTTCCCTACTAAAAGGTCCTAACAATACTTTCTTAAGCAAAAAGGAAATACATCGGGAAAATGTATATTTTCTATATATATATACTACTCACATCTGCAAAGCTTCTTACAGTTTAAAAACTTCCTTTCAAATATCCTTGAATTCACCAAAAATTTATAAAGCATCTACTATGGGCAGGGCATAGGAAACTGAAGAATATGCAAGTCCCATGCTAGCCCTGGGTAACTCTAGAATCTAATGAAAAAAGCAAATAGGTACACAAGGAACCTCAACTCAATTATTAAAACATCTTTTTAGAGGTTATATGAGAAAGTGTTTTTAAAAACAGGGCACCAGGGCACCTGGGTGGCTCAGTGGGTTAAGCATCTACCTTCAGCTCAGGTCATGACCCTGGGGTGCTGGGATTGTGCCCCACATCAGGCTCCCTGCTCAGTGGGGAGCCTGCTTCTCCCTCTGCATCTTCCCTGGCTCATGTTCTCTCTCTCTCTCTCTCTCTCTCTCTCTCTCTCTCTCAAATAAATAAATATTTTAAAACAAAACAACAACAACAAAAACAGGGCACCAAAGGAAAGAGTATAAAGGAATGAATGTCACAAGGCAGCTGACATGAGTTCCTAATCATAGCAGATACTCACAACCATCTGAGGAGTTTCTCCCTGTCTCCCTCCCTCCTCCTCTCTCTCCTCCCTTTCTCTTTTCATTAGTGTCCAACATAAGACAAAGTGTGATAATTATTATAGAAGCATTCTAGGGCCACTGATATATAGAGTGTTCTACCTTTGTAAAACACCCATTTCAACACTGTCATCTTGCAGATAAAGAAAATGAAATCAGGTCTCACTCCAGACTCTGAATCAATTTCTTTAAGGGTAAACCCAAAAGTTGATATAAAAAACAAAAAAGAAAAAAACAACCACAGGTCTTGATAATACTCAAGGTGTGAGAACAAATAGTGTTGCAAAATTAGGAAAAGGGTGTTTTAAATAAATGACAAAAAAAGAAAGAAAGAAAGAAAGAAAGCCCACCACCACCACCAAACAAACAAACAAAAATAATGTGAAAGAACCACTGAGAAATGAAAATGCAAATGAGCACAATGGGGAATCCCAGGAGGGGGTTAGGATGAGGGGGTGGGCTTGGAAAGTGAGGGCTTTGCATGTCAGGTCAGGCTGAGGTGTTGACAGTTGAGGTGTTGACAGTTGAGCCCGTAAGTACTGAAAAACCACCAGAAGTTTTTAAAATAAAAAAGTGATGGTGATGTGGTCCACCCTCTGCTTCTGCAAAGGCAGGAGCAGAACAGACAAGAGGCTGCTATATCAGCCCCCCTGAGAAAGGAGCCTGCAGTTGCAGGGGCACAAAGAGGGAATCAATTCAAACGATGCTCAGGCCGGTAGACTGTCAGGTATGATCACGAGATGAGGGGATGAGGGAATGTGAAGGGCAACAAGTCATTAATAAATGGTAGCATGGTAAGAAAGGACAAGGTGGGGGAAACGTCCAGAGCAGAAAGCCACATTTTATAGATAAGGAAAGTAAGTCTTAATGCTTAGGTGACCTAAAATAATACAGCTTAAGAATAATTCATAAATTATCCACTAACAGCCAGAATAACTGCAGGAGATACAAAGATGCATGAGATGTGGTCCTATCCCAAAAGAACCAAAAGAGTGAGTCATAGACACAGAACCAGAGTACAGTTTAAGCGCTAAGGCTCAGACCCAGGAAGTCAGAGGAGGAGCACACCATCCCCTGGACCTAGGGAAGCATCCCCAAGGCATAGCCAGTGTTTGAGCCTTGTGTCTAGGCCTGGGAGGATAAGGAATTGGTCAGACAAAGCCATGAACTCCAGGAACAGGAGCAGCAAAACTCGCATTCAGAAAAGAAGCTATAGGTCATCCAGACACAGAAGTCCACACTGCTACCTTACATAGGAAAAACTAGAACAAATACATACCCTAACATTCAAATAACAGTTTAGAAAGGTCTTAAAGTCAAAATTTTGCCAAACTGAAACCCATATCTTGGTCATTCTTTCTTGGGTAGGGTAGGGCTGGGGAGGCCAATGATTACTGGAGAGGGACAGAGAGCAAGAAAGAAGGACCGTGCCTACAATGTCTGGAGATCCATCACGTGCTGGACACCTGACATTGCTTATCTCGTTTACTCCCCAGGACAAGGTGCCATATCTCCATTTTACTCAACCAATTCCAGGTCACTTATAGTAACAGGTGGTGCCCCAGACTCAAATCCAAGTCCGACCAGTTCTAGGCTGTTCAATGGCTTCCTCTCTACTTCCAGAGAATGTCTGAAGGTCAAACTTGATTCCTATAAGCAAGACTTTTAGGAACAATGCTATCTGCAAAATACTGTCATCCTATTTAACAAAACATCAAACTGGCCACTTCCTGTTGCTAATAAACACAATATAAAAGATCTTATGTGGAGTTCACGTGCATTTGTTTTGCCTTGTTACGGGTCAACCCTTTCTACAAGCTTTCTTTTAGATGGAAAGAAATTTTGACTAAGAAACTTAATGATCTTTTTGCAAAACTGTTCTGTTGAAAATATATACATATGACATGATGTGCCTTCAAAGAACCTGCCGCCAGTAATTTGGGAGTTGAGGGGGACAGGTGGGAGGGTAGGCATAGAGGAAGGGAGAAAGAAGACTGGGAAACCTTAAGCTAATTTAAGACTTACTGGTAAAATACTTCATTTTATACAAAAGAAGCCTTTTTTTGAAAAGTTGCACAAAAAAGTCCTTATAAAAGCAACAGTTGTAGACATATCAGAGGATGCTCTTTAAGGAGCATTTTTACATGAGCTGGTAAGAGAAGTATTTTCTTCAACACCAAATGATGTGGCTTGATCTCACAATTAAGTTAGTTGTCTCAGGACTCAGGTTAAAAGCCAACTACTCAATAATTTATGACACTTCAAAGTAATAGCAACAAGATTAACTATTTTTAAGGACATTCAAAGAAATGCTGAATATCCAAAAATAAACTTGTAAGCGCATTTAGGGAGAAAAGGGCCCAAGAGAATGACATAGGAGGCTCAGAATTCACCTCTGCCCAAGGACACACCACAACTCAGAATCCACAGCTACGGAGAGATTTAAGCATGGGAAGTGTTGGATGGTAACTAACTTCTTGATCATTTCACAATATGCCATATACCAAGTCATTATGTTGTACACCTTACACTTATATCTCAATAAAACTGGGAGGAAAAGTATTGAGGTAGTTTAAAAGCTATTTCAAAGATATAGACATTATGAAAGAAAAGACTAGTAGATCTTACCATATAAAGATTTTTAAATTATGTACGGCAAAACGCAAAAAAAAAAAAAATGTCAAAGGAAAAGTGGGAAAATATTTGCAAAACATATGAGTAAAAAATGAGTCATTTACTTAACATACAAAGAACTTTTACATATCCACAAGAAAACTGAACTATTGAATAGAAAATTAAGCAAAAAGCATGAACACTTACAAATGTCAGTATCTAATAAAGATCTGAAAAATCCTTTCTCTCAGTTCCAAGTAAAGCCCTGCAGATTCGCTGTCAGGGAGGCACGAAGCCTGGGCTGAGGGGCAGGGAGGCTGGTGCTCTTCACTGCTGGCATCGTGGAACTTGGTGAGGCTCTCCAGAGGAAGTTTGACAACGATCATCAAAACTTAAGCTGTACTACTTTTGACTCCGAAATTCAACGTCCACAGCACGATCCCAGATCAAGTGGCACAAACACACCATGGGTTGTTTATACAAGAGGGTCCACTGTAGCACTAATGTTTACAACAGACATGAACAGTGCCCGTCACCAGGACGCTATTAAATAGATGGTGCATC